CGCACGTCATAGACACGTGGAGGGTAGAACCATTGGCTTATCATGAGTTTGTCGCATGGGAGCAAGCATTGGGGTTGACGCTAAATACAAAGGAAGTTAAGGGAATAACGGGGAGGCCGAGGGGGCATTCCCCGCTCATGGTACTCAAGGTCATCCACCCGATCATCAGGACGGGCAGAAGTGGATGTCGCGCCACCACGAGCACTGAGAGTAATGGTTAGCGATTCAGGCTTTGAGGAAGCCGAGGAACCTGTCTTGGTAGACATGGCAACAAACGGAGTGTGAATTACTAACTTACGAGGAACAACAGAAAGGGCCTAGAAAGAGAAAGCAAATTGGTAGAATAACGATCAAAGAGGAACATAATGGATAATTCTCGGGAGAGTGAAGCATATATAAGCAACGCCCCAGGACCTAACCCACCAGAATGAAACATGTGGTAACCCGTGGCCGGTGGAGCCTGCGGTAGGAATGGCGTTCTGATTCCCGTGCCAGGCTGGGGACCACAGTTGAGGATGACACTAGAAGCTGGAGACGAACGTCGTGTGACAGACGACAGATATCCAAAATATGGGCACAACATGGTTGGCCTCGTAAGGCCTGAAGGCACAACATGCACTCGCCGACGCACCACACTCGGGACCCAAAGGATGTACGTCTAGAAACTACTTACCTTGAATCAACCAGGAATACCTGAATAAAACTGGAAGGGTACGTACACCGATCATCATAACGGTGAGGGGACGTACGTCGCCAAGTCGTATAAAGAAACAAGAAAAAGATACGTCTAAACTCCAATACTTATCGGGATCAGAAATAGCTAGACGGAATGCGATAGATGGAAGGACATACGACGCTCGGAATGTAACAAATGCGCGCGAGATACACTTAGGCTCAAATACTTAGCAAAAAATCTAGAGTGCGCACAAACAAAAATAACGAAAGAGAAATGAAAGCAAGTCGCAAGCTTGGAGCAAAAGTATCCATTTTCATTTTTCAGCTCTATCGGCAGGAAATACACAGTAATGAAGGGCAGAGGATAAATGAAAAGTACATCAGACGAAATTAGGGGAATGATGCACGACGGTTTCCTGCTCAGCGCCCTCCTCATCAGAGTCTAAGACCGAGGTCGACGGATCTGGGATCTCGCCCCTCTCCTCGGCCTGAGCACACATAAGGTTCCGCTCCAGCTTCCCTACGGCCTCCTTAAGATCTTCATCATCAGTATGATCTGCTATCTTGAAGGCAGGACCATGGAGCTTGGCGAAGATCGGCAGCGTGGCCTTCACTCCAAGGTGGTGTAACCTTTGGTGAAGCCGTCATCAGACACGTCAAGCAAGAACTGCTCGCAGAGCGGAGTCCGTTCCAGGATCCACACCCCATGACCCAAACACTCCTTTTTCTTCTGAGCTCGCAGCTCCTCATCTCCGACAGCCCCCCCCCCCCACCCCAACAGTAACGCTGGGCGGAGAGCATAAAACGTGCTAACTTCTCATACCCGGATGTGTCGAGCTGCCAGTCGGGGGCGGGGGCCTCTGCTTGCTCAGGACGAGCAGTGCAAGCAGTAGCTTCGTCCTCGGGGATCTGGAGGGAAGTAAAGACGAGCAGGAGACCATGAGTCTCAAAAGTGACCAGCTTGCCAAGGGCCGCATCCAGAGCGGCTTGAAGCTCCTTTTTCTCCTTGGGGACAACCTTTTCTCTATAACGAGTGATAAGTTCGTATTTTAACACGCATTTGATGGGTGTTGGGATCGACTTTTGATGGTTTTCCTAGCTTTAAGGCGTTACAAGTCTCATTTTTAGCTCAAGCTATGTTTACCAGGCGTTGGTTCGAGTTTTTTGTTGTTTGGAGTCAAAATCAGGAAATTAGAGATCGACACCGGCGCTTGAGAAGCAATCAAGAAGAGTTGGAGAGCATTCAAGAGAGATTTGAGAGTTTTGGAGGCCACCGGAAGGTTCACGACAAAGATTCGATAAAAAAAAATGGTCGTTGGATTGATCAAGGAAGCATCCAGGAGCATTTGGAGTAAGAAAAGACAAGATTTGAAGAAGAAAAGGGCCGGCACGGTCGTGCTTAGCCCTAGGCACTGATAAGTTAGAATTTGTGATCCATTTTTGTCACAATTTTATACTTATTAATTGCCCAATTAAGAGGTTTGAGTAATATTTTATGTTAAAAATGCATTTTTAAGTGCAGGGGCTTTAATTGAAGGACTTCAGGACATTTGGGCTGATTTGTGAAGCTTTTCCCAGGGCTGTTAAAAAAGTGAGAGTGAGCCAATAACTTTGTTGAAAGGGACTCTTGCCCAGCAAACAAGAACAAAAAAAAAGAAAGGATTACTCCTCTAAATGACGGCAGCCACAATTCAGAAGAAAAAAATAATCTAGCTGCGTACATGGGAAAATGATCCAAACTCCAAATTAAAAGAGGTCTTGGCCTTTTTAGCCGCACCAGCAATTCAAAATCCAGAAAGAAAGGGATCTTTCGGCCCAAGAACAAAGAAGAGTGCAGCAAGTCTAAAAAAACGCTTGAAAAACGGCTGATGTATCATGGGCGATAACAAAGGCAGCAACAAGGGTTTTAGGAGAAATCTAGCAGCTAAGACAGAAGAGCCGAAGCCGGACTGGAAGGAGAACGCAGGAGGGAATGCGGCAGGTTCTGAGGTTTCTTGGTCGTGAAAATCACCAATTTCAGAAATTCTTCCTCCGGAAAAGTCCCGGTTTGATTCAATCAGTGTTCAAACTTCCTTACATGATTTCTGATAGAGTATTAATTCTAGAGAGAAGTGAGAGCTAGAGAGAGAAAGTGAGTAATTATATTTCTCAACTTCGAACCCCCTATAATTAGCCCCTTGGGGTCTATTTATAGGTAATATTGTGGATTTGGGCTCCTAGCCTTGGGCTTAGGAGGCCCATTACAATAATCATGCCTTCTTTGGGCGAAATAAGGCCACTAATGGGTTGTGTACAATACTTAGTAAATACAGTGAAAAATACATTCTGCCTGGACGAAGTCCGGACGATGCGGTCCATGGACGATGCGGTCCATGGACGATGCGGATTCTGGGCTTCGCCCAAAGAATCCAGGCGATATCTTCTTTCTTGGACGCCATCGTGCCTTTGGCCGATGTGGTGTCCTGCTGGTGTCATGGGGTTCAGGCCCATATACTCTATCAGGAGTCCCCCACTCTCTGAGCTGAGGTGAAGCCGAAGCGAAAGGGAGTACTTGTTCCTTTCTGGATGACCGTCACGTGAGCCTAAGGTGCTCGGTGGCCGAAGAGGTTTTGCCTTGGTCTTTAGACGAAGGGGTTTCTTCACTTGACGGAGACGAAGCGCCCTTGGGGATTCATAACCTTGATGCTGGCCGATGCGCTCCCGTGGGAGTGCTTTTTAGGATGAAGCGATACGTTCTCTTTTTCGTAGATGATGTGGTGAATTCTGGTGTGGATAAACTGGCCTGTTTCATTGTCATTTGTTGGGGCCGAAGAGCTCCCTCATAACTTTTTGGCCGCAGCGATAACCTTGTTTTATGAAGTGAAGATGGTTGATTCCGTCTATGTGGACGATGCGCTGCACGCCTTTGACTTGCCATGCAGCCGAAGCGTTTTTGACTTGTGGGTTCTTGCTATGGTGAGCCGACGCAGTCCCCCCAGTGCACGCAGCCGTTGAGCGCTAGATCTCGCATTTTGGGTTTTTAATTTTTGGGCTCTGTGGCCGATGCGATTCGCAATGTTATTGAGGTGAATTGTTCGTCTTTTGTTGTTGGTGAGCCGTATCGCACCCTCTTTGCATTAAGGCCGTTGCGTTTTCTTTTCTCGTAGCCGATACAATCCCCCAGTCCCCCACTCCTTTGGCCGAAGAGTATCTGAGGCACAAGGGAGTCAAGATGTGCCCAAAGCCGATACGATACCTATGCGTTAGTCGTGAGTCCAACCCTTAGGCGAACATGTCCAAGGTAACCCTGTGGGAGAACCCTTGGACGAAGGCCGCAATGCCAGGGTCATCATCAACGATGCGCGTATAAGCGGTCGTAGCGGTCTATTAAGGTTCTTTGGGTCGTTGTGAGGACGTAGAGTTTAGGTCGATGCGTTCCTTTTTCAGAAGTATGGGCCGATGCCAGCTTTGGAGCTTTGTAGTAATTGGGCCGCAGCGGCACTCGGTCGATGCCTTGCTCTCTGTAAGGTTGAGTTGGGCCGTAGGGGTGCCTCCACGAGTGATTTTTGAATTGGTATCCCTTGATTGGTTGGAGGAGAGGTGGCCGCTGGTGGAGCCAATGGGATGGCGCCACGTGTAGTGACCGTTGGAAGGTGTCTCTATAAAATACCCCCTAGCCCCGAAGCCACTTCCTCTTTTGTGCCTCTGCTGTTGTCGAATTGCTACCCAAGTCTTTCTAGAGAGAGAAAGTCCTGAGAATTTCCAAGTGTTCGTCACATTCTTCGAATCTTCAAAGGTTAGATACTCTAATTTTCCTTTGATTTCTTCATATTTTGCTCCTTAGGGTGTTAGATCTAGTGTTCTTTAGGAAAGTCACTTTGATCCGAAAACTACCCTTAGGACGTAGCGATAGTTGTTATGCCGTTCCCTGACGGCCGTCGCGTTCCCTCCCCTGTTGACTTAATAGCTTCATTGGACGAGTCTGATTGGCCCTTTGACGACGAGGACACATCCCTTGGGGTTGATCTAAGAGTGGTGGAGGCTTTCGAGATCGAGATGGAGAACACTGCGGATTACCGCACTTCTGTGGACGAGGAGCGTCTAAGTGCCGATGCGGGTTCTCAACCCTCTGGTGAGGACGAAGCGAGCTCCGACCCCAAATTCCGTGGCGACGATGCGGGTGATGCATCCTCGGCCGCTATTCCTTGTCCTCCCCCGATTACTTCGGTCCCTGGTGTCGCTTCGTCTTCCTCTAACCCCAAGAAGCGTAAGTCGCGTCGTCGGAAGGGGTTATCCAGTAGTCTTTCGCAGCTGGATTTGACGAACCTTTATATCATAAGGCCGGAGGGTTCCCAAGGTGAATATCAGGTGGCACAGCTCTACGTCGGGCCTTATGGGAGGGTTAGGCATCGAAGCCGACGGACCATGTTCTGGATCCGCCTCTTGGTTACTTCGGAGTGTATCCGATGAGCTTCTCCCAGGGTTTAAGGTTCCCTCTTCATCCATTTGTCGTGGAGTATCTCTACATGATAGACCTTCCACCTGCCTTATTAACTCCGAACAGCTACTCCCTTATTGTCGGGTTCCTCATCCGATGCGATGAGCTTGGAATTGAGCCGACGACGGCGTTGTTCACAAACTTGTACCGGATCGGCCGGGGCAGCCACGAGAACTGTGCTGGATATGTGGCCCTCCAGCAGTTGCCGAAGAAAAGATCTTTTACTGACCTCCCGTCGTCCATTCATGGGTGGAAGAGTAAGTTTTGCTTTGTGAAACTGGCCGATGGGGTGTTTTTCCCTTCTCAAGGACACAACGGCATCTTTAACTTGCACAACCCACCAAAGAGCCCTGAGATTGATGCTCAAGTGGAAGCGTTCCTGAAGGGTGGGCCGCGGAGCGTTAACACTTACATCACCGAGTTCAAGATAGCAGCTCTCGGGATGATGCGGTACTATATTCCCGGCGACCCTGATTGCGGATTATGGCCGAAGATATCTGGCTATTTTGAGCAGGCCGACGGGCCCTATTTTGGTGTCCCGGCCGATGCCGAAGGTTGATTTCTTTCCTTGGGCTCCATTATGATTTGTTTTGCTTGTTTTTCTAACTCTTTTGTTTTTTGCATCTGCAGACTTCACCATGAGCCGTAAGTTGTTTATGACCCAGGCCAAGAAGATGGTAGATAAAGAGATGCAGGCTGCACAACAGGCCGAAGCGTCCAAAAGCTCGGCTGACGGTGTGAAGGACAAAGCCGATGCGGCGAAAAAACCGTCATTGAAGAGGAAGAAGAAACCGGAGGAAGGCCAGCAGACTTTGGCCGAGGTGGGATTGAAGTCGGCCCAAGGGATGAAGAGGGCGAAGCAGACTTCTTCCCCCAGTGGTGTGCGGGCTATGGCTCAAGAAGAGCACCTTCCTGACGTCCAGGTCATCGAGGACCTTACCTTAAACGAGTCGTCGACTGCCCTCGTTCCTACGTCCCTCAACTCTGGCCAGAATGTCCACGCAACCTCCCGAAGCGGCCGCGACCTGGCCTCCGGACTGTATGAGGTGACGGTCCGGTACCCGACGAAGGGCGGGTTATTCAACGAGAGGGTCTCTGGCCACGACGTCTTGTTCCAGGCCATTCCGTATGAGGATAAGGCGTATCTACGCCGGCAAGGCAAGGAAGTGCGCCCTCTTTGATGGTGGATTGGACTACGTCGTCCAAGTAAGTATATGATCTTGTACTTAGTTTTTCTCGCCTTGCTTTCCTTTTCTGATTTTTTAGTTCTTCCTTTACAGGGTGCCTTGATGCTGATGGAACAGCACCGCCGGAAAGAGGAGGAGATTGCTCGCCTCCGGGAAGCCGAGAAGAAGGTTGCCTCAGCAGACGAAGCGCTCACTTCCTTGGAGCAGCTTCGTACCAAGACCGGATCCTTGAAGGATAGGGCCGACGCGGCAGAGAAGAGAGCTGCTGCTGCTGAGGATGAGGTGAGGCAGCTCCAGAATAAACTTGACGAAGAGGCCGCTGCTCGTCGGTTGGCAGAAGAGAAGGCCGAGGAGGCTATAAAGCTCAAAGCTCAAGCTGAGGAGGCGGCCGAGAAAGCCATTGACCTCTTCATGGCCGATGGGTGGAAGGATGACGCCCGTCGGGACTTTTGCTTCAAGGTTGTGGCCGATCTCTTCCAGGCTTGGTCGCAAGAAGATCCGGCCGGTCAAGCTTTTTGGAAGCAAGAGATGGAGGTCTTCTATGACCTTGGGCAGCGGCGTATGCAAATGCTGGTCTACCGGAGGCTTCGCCGACGCGTCAAGAATCTGAGGCCACAGGGTATCGGCCTTCCCAGGCTGATGAAGGACCCTGAGGAGGAGTTGACACTCCCCTTGGCCGAAAGGCAGCGTCCCATTTTGAGCTCCGATGAAGAGGATGAGCCTTGGACTGAAAGCGATGATTATCTTTTCCGGAGCTCAGTCAAGTCAAAAACCGCTGAGGATGTTGATGATGATGCCGACAGTGGGGCCGTTGAGGGAGGCCGGGGGCAAGCCGGAGATGCAGCTTAATGTTATTCCTTTTTCTTCTTTTGTTTTGGACGTAGCCTGATGTAGGATTGTATTGGCCGAAGCGCCCCATTTATGTACTTAAGATCCCAAATTAATGAACTCTTTTTGCCTGTGAATGAATGTGTTGTTGCTTCGTCTTTATTGCTTTAAATTCGTATGCATCTTTTGATCTTCACAATTTTTGCTAAGTATTAGGGGTAAGTATACCCCGGCTGGATTGAGACGAAGCGTTCCTTCGTCTATGTACCCACGAGGCTCATTTCCCTTGGAATTTCTGAGTATCAGCATCAAAACATGTCTCGCTTGTTTAAGACGCCGTGATCCCTTACGAGCACGGGAACGCAACGGCTTAGGTGAGTGTACGCTTTTGTAGGGATGACGTGTTCCATCGTCTGGGGTGAGATGTAGTCCCAATGTTACAGAATTTATCTAAGTATCATAATTCTGTTTTGGCGTCTTTCAATTGAGACGTAGCGATCCCCTTTCCTTTGCTGTCCTTGAAGACGATGCGCCTCATCGTCCCTTGGTGAATTCCATTTTGCCTTAACAAATTTTTCCGAGTCTCAAGTTTTTGGAGCTTAATCTCGAAGTGTTGAGGACGAAGCGATGCCCAGTGGTAGCGCATCATCTTTTCAGTAAGACTTGACTTGATGTGGGTGTTTTGCTTCGGTTCATCACTTGGGTTCTGCCACTTAGAGACGATGCGCCTCATCGTCCAAGTAGTGGAATGTGGTCTCGTATAATTGAAGCTCAAGCGATTCCATCCTACGACATTGTGGCTGCGGCCGAAGCGTGTACTTCGGGTTCCTGTATGGTGAAACCTGATATGTACTTAGCCGATTTTGAGGCTTGTTTTTTTTTTTGGGTGGCCGAAGGGTTACTGTCCCTTCGTCCATGTGCGGTAGTTTGTCCGCTACGCTTTTCGCGTGGGTTAGTGCGCGGGAGTAAATACGCCCCCGGCTTGGTGTGTCAGTGACATCTTTTTTGGCCTTTCCACGTCTATCGGCGACGCGGGACCGGACTAGCTATCGTCCTTTGACGGCCACCCTTTGTGGTCCTGAGTGAAATTTTACTGACGGGTGGAGTTTTTGTAACCTTAGCCTTAATTCAGGCCTGTCGTAGTAGTCCCCCACTTGGAATTCGCGGGAGCATACCTTGGCGTCGTAGTAGGATTTGACTTGGCGTCTGTAGTTTTCTGCCCTGAGGTAGGCAAGTCAATCTTCATGGCTTCTGCATTGGCCTCGGGGTCGTACTGTGCGACCCGTCGGCTGGGGAGGGTGACTTCAGTGGGAGCCTTGGCTTCGAAATCGTAGCACAAGGAGAATGGTGTCTCCCCCGTGGCCCTCCTTGGGGTAGTTCGATAAGACCATAGGACGTTGGGGAGCTCGTCGACCCAATTCCCGCCTTCTTCCTCGAGCTTCTTCTTCAGCCCCTCCAAGATGGTTCTGTTGGCGTTCTCAACTTGCCCGTTGGCCTGAGGGTAGGCAACGGAGGAGAAACGGTGTTTGATACCCCATTCTTGGAGGAGGCTTTGGAACGGTTCGGCCTCAAACTGGGTGCCGTTGTCTGATATGATCTCCTGAGGCACGCCGAAGCGGGTGAGGATGTTCTTGTAGATGAATTTTCGACACCGCACTCCGGTAATGCTTGCGAGTGGTTCGGCCTCGACCCATTTGGTGAAGTAGTCGATAGCGACGATGATGTGTCTGTTGTTGCCTACAGCTCTTGGTAGTGGGCCGACGAGGTCGATGCCCCATCTGGAAAATGGAATGGCAGTGCTGACCGGGGCGTAGTTGACGGCCGGTCGGCCAGGTGCCCTTTGATAATGTTGGCATGCGGTGCATTTGCGGGCGACTTCAGCACAATCGCGTGCCATCGTCGGCCAAAAATAGCCCTGGACGACTAGGCGACGAGACATGCTGAAGGGTCCCTGATGTGATGAACAGACGCCGCAATGTACTTCCTCCATGGCCACTTCGGCCTCATTTTGGTGTAGGCAAAGGAGGAGGGTGCCATTGTATGATCTCTTGTAGAGCTTGTCACCCTCAATGACATAGCTTGGGGACCTGAGTTTGGTGAGTTTGGCCCTCTCCTCGTCTTCAGGTAGTGTGCCGGAGGTGATGTAGTTTGTAATGTCAGTGATCCAATCCTCCGACTAGTGTTGTATGCATAGTATGGGGCTGGCGTGAATGCTTGACATGCTCAAATCCTCCACCTTAACTATCTTGGAGATGTGCTCAGGGGTGTCGGAGCTGAGTTTGGAGAGTATGTCGTCCTCGGCGTTCTCTGCCCAAGCAGGCGGCCAGAGTGGGGGCCTTTTTGGGCGCCTTCTGCTAGTTCGGGTCAAAGTCAACTGTTGACTTCTGATTTTTCAAAGGCGGCCATATTGGGGGCCTTTTTGGGCGCCTTCTGCTAGTTCGGGTCAAAGTCAACTGTTGACTTCTGATTTTTCAAAGGCGGCCAAGCAGGCGGCCAGATTGGGGGCCTTTTTGGGTGCCTTCTGCTAAATTTGTCTGGCAAATGCTGGGTTTCCCGCTCTTCAAGGTTATCTTCTCGATCACTTTGAAATAATGCTTGCTTCTTCCGGTATGAATTCATTTGTTACTCAAATTGACTCATTTTGTGCTCTTTTGACCCGAAATTCCGGCAAACATATTATGAATGTGGTTTTCACCTGATTTCATGAAACTTGAACCAAAATGTCTAAAACATGCCTTTTTTTTTCTATTTTCAATCAAAAATCACTTAAATTTGATAAGAAAAATAAGTACAAAAATGGACTTATCAATCTCCTCACACTTAAGCGTTGCTTGTCCTCAAGCGACAAATTAGTTGCAAACACACTCAAAAAGGTAAAACTTGACTGTATCACAATCGAATTGCTATTAAAGAAGTAGAAACAAAAACCTCTCTTTTATTCTCAATTTTTAAATATTTTTAGAAAAATCACCCAAGATATATGAATTTAATATTATTATTACTAAAGAAAACTATTATGTTAAACCACCAATCAATTCCTATCCCAAGGTTTTTATTATTCTAAATTGGACATTCAACTTGTTTTTTTTTTTGTTTTTTTTTTTGTTTTTTTTTTGCCTCCTTTTCACTCTTGTTGGCGGTGTTATCCCATGGTAAATGCATACTTCATTCTCATAGACTATGATTAACTGTTGGTCCCGTTTGAGTTGGTAATCAGTCTAGAGGGGGGGGGGGGGTGAATAGACTGATTAAAGTTTTTCAACTTTTCTCTAAGTCAGAGTTGACTTGTCAGAGATGGTCAAGTTCTGATGATCAGAACTGGTCTTTTGCAGCGGATGAGAGTTCCGGGTAGCCTCAACCAAATCCTAAGGCAGGTGCCTTTCTGATAACTCTGAGAACAAGATCTGCTGAACACAGATCCCAAGTTCAAGAGAGTTATGCAGTTAAGAACTAAAGTGCAGAAAATGAATGCGTAAAGTAAATGACACCGGAGTTTTTATAGTGGTTCAAGGAACAACACGTTCCTCTAGTCCACTGTTCCACTAAGCTTGTAAGGATCAATTACAACGCTTTAGTCCCTAGCACTTAAGAAGTTCTCCACGCCTTCTTCAAGCCTAGTTGTCACCCGGGATGCAGTCCTGCTTCCTGATGACTGATCCTTTCACTCAGCTTCCCGGAAGTATCACCACTTCACTGATGCAGTTACTTGGACGCCCTTCTTTGCAGAAGATGTTTTGAAAACAGAGTTTTCTCCAACTAGCTTCGTTACAAAAGATAGGTAGTTGAAGTTCTTGAAGTGTTGAAGAACAGGATGAACTTTGCTGTGTGTTGGGTTTGAAGAATGAGAATCTGAGTCTTCCCAACGTAAGCTAGTCTTGTTGATGAATGTGGAGTTTTGAATCTCAAGAGAGCTTGAAGTATGATGAGCAAAAGTTCTTGCAAAAGTTCTGCAAAGAGAGTTCTAGTCCTGTTCTTTGGTTTGTAGCTTATATACTGGGGTTGTCTGCCCGTTGGAGGAGGAGACAACTGCATTGAATGCGCGTACTGTTGACTTGACCCACTGATTTGGAAGCTTTCTATTTTTATAATATATCTTCCAGATTTCTCGGTCAATCATTTGCAATCAATCCAAACCGTATCAGGCTCATTTAATGAGCATTAAATGCTTTCCTTGGACGGAATATCTTCTAGCCGTTGATGAATTTCCCAGCCGTTGAAGGTAGCCTGAAATTCTTCTAAGTGTTAGTCGGACTCTGATACGTTGGATTCTGATGACTTTCTGAAGAGTAGTTCTGATGTAGTTTCAAGTCGAGCTCTGGTGTGGGAACTCTGATGCTTGTTGGATGTTGAGTTCTGATGAAGCTATACACCGAACTCTGATGCTTCTCTGATGAGCAACTCTCATGATCTGCTGAGAGCAACTCTGAAGGCAGTTCTCATAGAGCAACTCTGATCAGATCCACAAAAGAGCAACTCTGATTGTTGACTATACTAATACTTACAACCGAAAGTACTAATACATAAAATCTAATTGGGGGTACTCTAAAATTCTAATCTAAATAACCTAGCATCATCAAAATCTAATTACATTTATTCCTTACATTAACGAATGAAACAGAGCCCCTTTTCGGAGATGGAATTGTCCTATAACAATGAGTTTTGGAGTTTTATTAATAATAGCATTTTTGTTTTAATGAATAAAATGAATGTCCAATTAAAACAAATTCAGCCCTTTACATTCACAACCACAAACCCATAACAAATTTAAGTTTTCTAAAAATAATAATAAAAGTAAATTCTTATAATAAGGGTGATTATCTAAACTATTATGTGATTGATAACAAATTGAGAAATTAATGTTTCATATCAAAAATAGTAAAAAGATTGTTCTAAAACAAGGTTTTAATTTTTGAGTGTAAACACAACCTCCTCACACTTGAGCTGGACCTCGCCCTCGAGGTCTTCTTTTAAGGCACAAAATTTTGAAATAAAGGCACATTGTTTTTTTTTTTGTTCTTTCCTTACACTTGAGTTTTGAAAAGATTTTGTGAAGAGGAATAATGAAATAAAAAATCTTTACATCATTCATAGTCAGTTTGTAAGAGCATTTAAGTCAAAAGAGCAGCACAATGTCCAACCTGAATAAACAAACAAACACAATAAAATGTTAAGGAAGAAAAAAAAAACTAAGCATCACCCGTGTCCTCCCGTAAGGTCTAAGTCAATCTCATATCTCATCAACATTGAACCACACCCTGCAAACACACAAAACAAACAAACAATGTTATGAAAAACATGGGTTGCCTCCCAAGAAGCGCTT